CTATGTTGCCCTGGGTAGAGTGCTGTGGCATCACAGCTCACAGCAACCTCCAACTCTTGGGCTTAAGTGATTCTCTTGCCTCAGCCTCCCAAGTAGCTGGTACTATCCACCACAATGCCCGCCTATTTTTTTTGTTGCAGTTGTCAATGCTGTTTAGCTGCACCCTAACCAGTGAGCTATGGGTGCTGCCAAGAGTTGACAGTATGATTATAGTATGATATATTTAGATAGCCTAAATGTAAATAGGCAAAGATGACCATAGAATACTTTATTTTAATTTTTTTAGTTTTTTTTTTTTTTTGAGACTGATAGAGTCTCAAGCTGTCGCCCTGGGTAGAGTGCTGTGGCATCACAGCTCACAGCAACCTCAAACACTAGCTTAAGTGATTCATTTACCTCAGCCTCCCAAGTAGCCGAGACTACAAGTCCCCACCACAAGGCATGGGTTTATTTTGTTATTGTTGCAGTTGTTATTATTTTAGCTGGCTGGGCCGGGCTCAAACGCACCAGCTTCAGTGTATGTGGCTGGTGCCCTACCCACTGAGCTCTGGGCTGCTGCCCAGAATACTTTATTTTAATATTTGATTTCTGAACTGTTTTAAGCCTTTGACCTCTTTTTCTCCTTTAAGCCTTCTCTTTTATGAGTTCAAGCTTTTAGCAGTAAAGTAGTGTTTTCATACTCTGACTTAAGTTCTAGCTTTTTGTGTGTGTGTGTGTTTGGCCAGGGCTGGGTTTGAACCCACCACCTCCATATATGGGGCCAGCACCCTACTCCTTGAGCCACCAGTGCCACCCAGAACTTTTTTAAGTTCTAGCTTTTAATATTTATAGATAATATAGTCTATCATAAATCATATGAGTGACTATATATCTCAAGCTGAAATTTAATGTTTATAAAGCTTAAATGATTGATAAATTTCTTTACATTTTATGGATTATTTTGTTTTCCCAAAGAGTAATGAACCTCATGAGACAATGCCAATTGCTGCCTTTGGACAAAAACAGCGGCCTTCTCGATTTTTTATGACCCCTCCACGGTTACATTATACTCCTCCTCTCCAGTCACCAATTACGGTAAGTAATATTTTAATAATAATAATTTAATTGACTATTATGAATGTAAGCTATGTTCCCATGAAATACACATCTATATAGCAGCTTTAGTAGATATGCACACTATTATGGGTTTTAAAATATTAAATAGGGCTGGATGTGGTGGCTCACACCTTAATCCTGGCACTCTGGGAGGCTGAGGCAGGTGGATTGCCTGAGTTCACAGGTTGGAGACTAGCCAGAGCAAGAGTGAGACCTCGTCTTTAAAAATAGTTGGACAAGGCAGCACCTATGGCTCAAAGGGGTAGGGCACTGGCCCCATATGCCAGAGGTGGTGGGTTCAAACCCAGCCCCAGCCAAAAACTGCAAAAAAAAAAATAGCCAGGCATTGTGGCAGGCACCTGTAGTCCCAGCTACTTGGAGGCTGAGGCAAGAGAATCGCTTAAGCCCAAGAGTTTGAGGTTGCTGTGAGCTGTGACACTACAGCACTCTACCCAGGGCGACAGCTTGAGACTCTGTCTCAAAACAAACAAACAAACAAACAAAAAAACAGTACCATTCTCTATCTTAATTAATTTAAAAGCAGTTAAGGGCAGTGCATATTGCTCAAGGAGTAGGGCGCTGGCCCCATATACCGGAGGTGGTGGGTTCAAATCTGACCCCGGCCAAAAAAATAAAATTAAAATAGCTGGGCAAGAGAATCGTTTGAGCCCAGGAATTTGAGGTTCTCGTGAATTATGACACAAGTGCATTCTACCAAGAGTGACAAAGTGAAATTCTGTCTTTAAAAAAAATTTTAAATTAAATAATATATAGTTGCTTCAGTTCCAGAATTGACTATTATACACATCTATTACATCAACTTTGGAAGATATGCATATTATTGTGAGTTTAAAAATATTACATAAAATAATATATAGTTGCTTCAAATCCAGAAATATTTTCCTTTTATTGGACTTTAATATTAATTGTGATAGAGTTTTATCTTTATCAAAAAGTAAGATATTTCCTTTTGAATAGTAATTAAATGGTTCCCTTTTATTCTCATAGGATAATGATCCTTTATTAGGACAATCACCTTGGAGAAATAAAATTTCTGGCTCTGACACTGAAACATTAGGTGGTTTTCCAGTAGAATTTCTTATCCAAGTGGTAAGTACTGTTTCGTATATTCTTTTAGCTATTTATCTTTTGTATTAGTAAAGTTGAATTTTTTTCTAGGGCCAATTTTTTTTTTTTTTTGAGACAGACTTTCACTATGTTGCCCTCAGTATAGTGCCGTGGCATCACAGCTCACAGCAACCTCCAACTCTTTGGGCTTAAATGATTCCCTTGCCTCAGCCTCCCAAGTAGCTGGGACTACAGGTGCCTGAGAAAACACCCAGCTATTTTTTTTGTTGTTGCAGTTGTCATTGTTGTTTAGCAGGCCTGGGCTGGGTTCAAACCTGCCAGCCTTTGTGTATATGGCCAATGCCGTAACTACTATGCTATGGGCACCAAGCCAGAGCCAAATATTTTTATATATTCTTTTATAATTGTATAGGTTTTGGAAACTGCTGTTTTCAGCAAAGCTTGAAAATAAAAGTTATAAAAGGCAGAAAAAGACTTAGAAGTCTTTCTTTCGGAGCTTTTCTTGGGTTTGGGGTTTTGGAGGTTTTTTTGGAGACAGAGTCTTGCTCTGTTTTCCTAGGAAGAGCGCAGTGGTGTCATCATAGCTCACTACAACCTCAAACTTCAGGGCTGAAGCAAACTGCAGGCTTCACCCTCCCGAGTAGCTGGGACTACAGGCAAATAGCTGGTACTACAGGCGCATGCCACATGCCCAGCTAATTTTTCTGTTTTTAGTAGAGATGGGGGTCTTGCTCTTGCTTAGGCTGATTTTGAACTCCAGAGTTCAAGCAGTCCTCCTGCCTTGGCCTTCCAGAGTACTAGGATTACAAGTGTAAGCTACCATACCTGACCCCAGTTTTGGTTCTTATTCTGCTATTTTAAAAACAAAGACATTTGGCTGGGCACTGTGGCTCACACCTATAATCCTAGCTTTCTGGAAGGCCAAGGCCAGTGTATTGCTTAAGCCCATGAGTTCAAGACCAGCCTGTGCAAAAAGTGAGACTCTTATCTCTACTAAAAACAGAAAAACTGAGGCAAGAGGATCACTTGAGCCCAAGAGTTGGAGGTTGCTGTGAGCTATGACACTATGGCACTCTACCCAGGGTGACAGCTTGAGACTCTGTCTCAAAAAAAAAATAAAAAAAACTTAAGGGAATCTCCAACAATAAATAATATTAAAAAAAAAAAAGAACTCAGACATTTTAGCATTATGCACTGTGAAATTCTAAATGGTTGTCTGTTAATAACTTGAGTAAGTATAAAAGATTTTTAGGTAACTTCTGCATATTCTGTTATTATCATTTAACCCAACAGTTATGATGTCTTGGCTAGCTATATGGTTTAGGGAAATTTCATTTCTTTTCAGAGACGAGAAACAACTAAGTACTTGCTAAATACTTAGTGATTAGGCACTAAGAAATCTAAGTCTAAAGTGAAATAAATATAGACATATTATATAGAAAATTTTTCCTGAGTAGCCTCTTAAACATATAATGAGTAGCTTGAAAATTAGACTAGATATGTTTTTTACTTTGAATCATAGTCTATAATGTTTTATTTCTTTTCCTTTTTTGAAAGTACAAACAAGGGCCAGGCATAGTGGCTCATGCCTGTAATCCCAGTGCTCTGGGAGGCCAAGGTGAATGGATCGCTTGAGTTCAGGAGTTTGAGACCAGCCTGAGCAATAGTGAGACCCTGTCTCTAGAAATAGCCAAGCATTGTGGCAGGTGCCGATAGTCTCAGCTACTTGGGAGACGCAATAGGATCACTTGAACTCAAGAGTTTGAGGTTGCTGTAAGCTGTGATGATGCAGAACTCTCCCTGGGCAAGAAAGTGAGACTCTGCCTCAAAAACAAAACCACAAAAACATGCAAACTACATTGGCTTGGGATAGATACGATCTTTGTAAATAAAAATGTTTATAGCATAATTCATTAAGATAATCACAATGCTACCTTTTGCAGGTGATGTTATTTTGAGGAACCCTTGTCATCTGTGTGATAGCATTCTGTATTCTTCACTCATATATTGCTCATTATTCTTGTGCTATAAAATTTGCCGTGGCTTTTGGCTTCCAAAGGTAGATAGGTTTAGTATCTAAACTTAATTTGAGTATATTCTCACTCACTATTTTTCAAATATGTCTTTCTTTCTTTTCCTTCTTATGTTCTCATTAATGCATAAGTTATACCTTTTGTCTCACAGTCCTTGGATGTTCTGTGCTTTTCTTTCAGTCTTTGTTCTCTCTCTCTCTCTTTTTTTTTTTTCCAGTATTGGAGGTTTATGTTAATATATTCTTAAGCTCCAATATTCTTTTCTCAGCCACATCCAGTCTGCTAATAAGCCCATCAAAGGCATTCTTCATTTCTCTTACAGTGTTTTTGATCTCTAGCATTTCATTTTGGTTCTTTCTTAGAATTTCCATCTCTCTTTTTACCTTGCCTATCTGTTTTTCCATGCTGCCTATTTTATCTATTAGAATTCTTAGAATATATATTAATTACAATTGTTTTAAATTCTTGTGTGATAATTCCAGTATCCCTGCCAGATTTGAGTCTGGTTCTTTGTCTCTTCAAACTGTTTTTTGCTTTTTAGCATGCCTTGTAATTTTTTCTTGATTGCCAAACATGATGTAGAATGTAAAAGGAAATATAGCAAATTGGCTTTCATGATAGGGCAGTAAGATGTGGGAGAACTGGCTAGGTGTGATGTCTCACGTCTGTAATCCTAGCACTCTGGGAGGCCAACACGAGTGGATTGCCTGAGCTCAGGAGTTCGAGACCAGCCTGAACAAGAGTGAGACCCCATCTCTAAAAAAATAGGTGGGCGTTGTGGTAGGCATCTATAGTCCCAGGTACTTGGGAGGCTAAGGCAAGATGATCACTTGAGCCTAAGAGTTTGAGGTTGCCGTGAGCTATGATGCTACAGCACTTTACTGAGGGTGACAAAGTGAGATTCTCTGATTCTGTTTCCAAAAAAAAAAAAGTAGGGGAAAGAGGAACAGTATGTGGTCATGTGCAATTAAGTCTTAGTCTTCTAGTAAGTCTGTGCCTCCGGACTGTGAACTTTAAAAGTATTTCACAGACTAGGCTTGATGGCTCGTGTCTGTAATGCCCACACTTTGGAAGGTCAGGGTGGGAGGATCACTTGAGGTCAGGAGTTCCAGAACCAACCTGGGCAACATAGCAACACCTCATCTCTACAAATATTTTTATAATTTAACTGGATGTGGTACTGCTCATCTGTAGTCCCACCTACCAAGGAGGCTGTGGTAGGAGGATTGCTTGAGCCTAGGAGTTAGAGGTTGCAGTGAGCTTTGATGACCCTAGCCTGGGTGACAGAGCAAGACCCTATCTTAAGAAAAAAAAATTTCTTTTAAAAAAAGGGGGGGCCCACTGCCTGTGGCTCAATGGCTCAAAGGAGTAGGGCACTAGCCCCATATGCTGGAGGTGACAGGTTCAAACCCAGTCCTGGCCAAAAACTGCAAAAAAAAAAAGGCTTCTCAGTTTTTTGCCTCCCTTAGGTGGTATAGGGTGAAGTTGGATTTTTTTTCCTTCACCCAGGTGAATTAGGTGCTGATAAAGCCCTAGTTTTTTTTTTTTAAGACACATTTATTCAAAAATTTATTTAGCAATCAACAGCATGGGTACAAAACAAACAAACAAACAATGTACATGAAAACCTTTTGTTGGAATGCTTTACACTTTCCACAGAACAGAAACTAAAATAACCTGTTATTCAGTTAGTATACAGTCCTCGAGTTTTTTGCTCATACACATGAGTATTGTCTAAAAACATGTCTTCTTTGTAGCAGCCTGGCCCTGCCACCACTGTGCTTGGCTGATTTCACAAATCTGTTGTAACCTGTAGCTTCCCTGTCACTTCTCTGGCTCTCCTCTCCTGCTAAGCTTTGTTTCCTGGGAATAATTAAACCTTCTGCCACTGCCATAGCTACTGCTGCTACTGGAACCATCACAACCACGTTGGTTTCATGGTTTGGCAAAGTATTGGCCACCACCACTGTAGGGCCAGAGCTTCTGGCTCTAAAATTTCCTCCCTTCATGGGTCCAAAATTTGATGACTGATTGTTGTAATTGCCAAAATCATTGTAGTTTCCACCGCCTCCAGAATTGCTTCCATCATTACCAAATCCACTGTAGCCATCCACACTGCCACCATATCCACCACCACCACCACGGCTGCCACCAAAGCCACCACAACCACCAAAGTTTCCTCTACGGCCAAAGTTGTCATTTCCACCAAACCACCTCCATGACCCCCCCCAAAGTTTCCAGAACCACTTCGACCTCTCTGGCTGGAGGAAGCACTGGCCATCTCTTGCTATGACAGGGCTTTCCTTAGTTCGCAGTTGTGGCCATTCGCAGTATGGTATTTCTGAATGTCAGTCTCATCCACAGAATCGTGGTCATCAAACATAACAAAAGCAGAGCCCCTCTTCTTGCCACTGCATCACTTCCATTTCCCCTACTGTTCAAAACAGTCTCTGAAGTGATGTCTTCAGTGTCTTCTTTAATGCCACCAACGAAGATCTTTTCACAGTTAAGTGGGCACCAGGGCTTTGGGCCTCTTCTCTGGAAACAGCTCTCTCTGGCTCCACAACTCTTCCATCCACCTTAAGTGGCCTTGCATTCACTGCTGCACCCACCTCCCCACAGTGGCGTATGTGACAAACCCAAAGCCCCTGGCGCACTTGGTGTTCAGATCTCTAGTTACCACGCAGTCTGTGCATATTCCCCACTGCTCAGAATGGCTCCTCAGACTCTCATCAGTTGTTTCAAAGCTCAGCCCTCCCAATGAATAGCTTCTGTGTTCGGGCTCTTTAGAGGACTCTGACTTAGACAGGATGGCTGTGGGCAGAGAGACTTTAACGATGCTTCCTTGGCAGCGGCCACAGGCAGAAAG